ACTAGCGGAGGGGCCTGAACATAAAAACTGGATCCGTGCGCCCCCAGACTTTACAGTTCTTTAAAAGCCCAGACACAAAATGGTTCGCACCATTCCAAACATGGAAGAGGGGTGTAATCCATATTGGAATCTTGCAGCTTGGGCCCATCTCTGATGCAAATCCCACATGGAAATCATTTTACACAGTGGGTCTGTGGTAGCGCCTGACCCCATTTCCATTGAATTCCATGTGAGGTTTTGTGTTGATTTCAGTGGGAGACGGATCAGGAGTCCTGCTTTGCTAGGAGGAAAAGAGGACAGAGTGGGTGCGGTTGAGAGCACATTCTCCGCATGCCATTTTAAGAGTTAAATCTATGAGGTTCTGCTCCCTCATTCTTTCAGCAGAGCAACCTGGAAGCTATCGCTCATGAAAAAGTCCTACAGACAGATTTAAATAGGGATCAGCCCAGCTGGGTTCTATAGAAATCACTATAAAAACCTATACCATTTAATAGAGAATGAGATCCTCTTTCTATAATTTGTCCATTAAACCCTATAAATCCTATAGGGAGCTTATTGCTCCCTATTAAATTCTGTAGGGCTTTTCCATCAGGGATGGTTCTTGCATGCCGGCCCATGTCAATCCCAGGTTCTGCGAGGAAGCTGGACAGCAGTGACCTGCCGTAGTTTTTTAATCCAGAGGCCCATTAGCTTGCTGAAGGAAAACAAAACCAAAAAAGGAGTTAAACTAAAAGGGGCAACTGTAAAATAGAGATTGGCAGCGAATTTGAGGCTCTCAATAGAACCAAGGGCTGGAGGGAATTCTCGGAATTTTATTTGTGATGCAAAGCTCAGTGAAGCCTAGACTGTGGTCTCCTGGGCGGGGCAAAGAGCGTCTTTCTCTCTCGGCTTTTGGACTCAACTTGCGTTTATTTCAGATTGAACCAAACATGTGTCACCTTTCATAACATTCTCCCCCGCCCCAATCCTGGAGCTTCCCAAATGCAGCCGTGCTCAGCTTCTACCAGCTCCAGGGTCCCTCTGTCCTCAGAGGGGTTTACAGGGGCAAAGAAAGGATGAAACTTACCTGGAATGCAAAGATGTGTAACTAAATGATCAGAAAGTGGCAGCACATAAGGAGCTCCCCGGCTCTATTCAGACAACTACACCTAGGGCCCATGGTAGCTGAGGTCACCTCTCTTTCTACAGCTCATCAAGGGAGTTCCCATCTCACCATCCAGTCATGGGGAGGGTGGTCTCAATGGACAGCTCCCTTCCTCTATCTCCTGGACACCTACTTGTTTGGCTGAGGCAGAGGGATGAGTGTACCCTGACACAACGCCAGATCTATTTAGTCACGCTTGTTGAGGAGCTGCACTAATAACAGGTCGGGGAGTAGGGCGCGTGCTGGGTTTTGAGCCTGATCTGTGGATTGTTAGAGGCCATTCCTACAAGGGGCAGAGCGTTCTCACTGCCCGTAATGTGTAATGGTTTCTAATGATGGACGGCGTCCAGGGGTCTCAGGCCTCAATGTGCATTGTAAAGAAAGCACCAAACACTCATCTTACACTAGGCCATTGTCAGCACCAGCCACAAACCTAACCCCTCATTCTCGGAGATTTCAATTGCCACTTCCCCGGGGTAACCGCCGCATGGTTGTCAGGATTCTGACTCAAGCCAGGGAGAGCTGCCTCTGGAATTATGACCTATATTAGGGTTGCCAACCCTCCAGGATAGTCTCCAGGGATTAAAGATTCATCTTTAATTAAAGATTATGTCATGCGATGAAACCTCCAGGAATACAGCCAACCAAAATTGGGAACCCTGGACCTGATAGCAGTGGTGGCTTCAGTGGAGGTCCATGGCTGCAACTGCACCCATTGGAATCGGGCCCAGATTAACCAGTGTGCAATGGTGTACTTGCACAGGGATTCCTGTCTCAGGTTTGGGCCTGGCCGTCCCTCCAGAGGCAGCCCGGCCAAACCTGAGTGGAGGCGCTGTGACCCTGTGCACCAAGTCACAATGCCCGGAGTGGGCAGCTGGGCCCAGCCCCGTGGGACGGGAGTCACAACTGCTGGATGAGCTCACTCTCCATGCCCACCCCTGGGGCCTCCCCTCCACGCCCGGCCAGGATTAGGGTTGCGATGCTGGGACGGAGGCGCTGCTGCAGGTGGTCGGTGCCCCCTCGGCAGGCTGAGGAGCAGGCACTCATTGAATTGGGAGGCTACGTCCTCCCCTGCTTGATAGCCACAGGCAGAGCATGGCTGAAGTAGACTAGGCTCAGTTTATTCATTATTAAAATGGGAATGTCCCCAAAGTCTCTATCCAACCATATTGAACGATCCCCAGTGCTCCAGGCTACGGAGAGAGACTCTCACATACAAAGTATAGCAAAGAAAGGGTCCACCCAGAAATTAGCAGCACAGATGCCTGCTCTCGGTTTCCTTAACCGATAAAGCAGACAGCACAGACCAGTAATTAGGACAAGGGCTCAGGAGTCTTAGGACACGTCTACACAGAAAAACAACAACCCCAAGCCAAGCCACTGCCGTGAGTCTCAGAGCCCGGGGCAACTGGCTTGGGCTTGTGGGGCTAAAAATAGCAGCGTAGACGTTTGGGCTTGGACTGGAGACTGGACTCTGAAACCTGGCAAGGCAGGGAGGGTCTCAGAGCCGCAAACGTTGAGCCAGGCTCAGACTCACTGCCGCATGTCTTTTTCTCCAGTGTAGACAGACCCTCAGGTTCTAGTCACTGTGTGACCTTGGTCAACTCACTTCACCTTTGTGTGCTTCACTTCGCCCCTCTGTAACACAGGGGTAATGCCTACCTTTGTAATGTGCTTTGAGATGCTGGAGAACCACAAAGGGTTAGAACAACAGCCATGCACATGTCTACTGCCCCACTCACCTGAGATTAGGGGTTTTTTTTGGGGGGGGGGGGTTGATGGGCGTCTAAATTATCTTTAGTTTTTCATCAGCATGGTACAAGTAGGAATCAGATCACACTGGATCACGTTGCCACATTGGATCAGATTCATGGTGCATCTACTCCAGTATCTTGTTACTGATAATGGCCAGCACCGGATGTTTCAGAGAAAGGTGCAAGAAACCCTGCGGTAGCAATGGAGCAAGGCACAGAAGTTTCCATCTAGCCCTCAATAGTTAGAAGGTGGCGTGAGGGTTTATATCCCTTTCAGGAGATTTGGTGCCTGGGCTGGTATCATCTCATGACAATTTTGCAAAGCTGCATTAGAAGCCTTTTAGCGAGAGGCAACAATTTCTCACCTCATAGGCTCTAACTTTGACATAAAGCAGAGAAATCCAATGCCACGGCTGTAAATCCATGGGATGTCATAAAACGATTAACATTTAAAACCATTCAAAAACTGGGCCTCTGACTGTGTCCTCCAGAACCCGTCTCCATCAGCCTGCCCTATCTCATGTAATGCTGGCGACAAAGAAAGAATGAAAGTTACCCCGGATGAAGGCCCAAGATGCGCCATACTCAGGCCTGGATCTGGGCCCAAAAGGCAAACAGACGGACCAGTGGCAGGCTTAAGGTTCAAAATTTCACACGTCACAAAAATGGAAACAAATGCTGGGTGTGAGCAGAAATCTCAGAGGGTTGGTAACATTTGTTACTAGCACTGGCTGGCCATGAGATAGCTCACCTCAAAAATCACGTCCTTCTAATTACCCTCCTGTTCCTCCCCATGTCGCAGACAGATGTAGCTGCTGCTACTTCAGGAACTGCTGGCAGGGGAGCTGAAACCATTTTTATAGCGAGTGCGCTGAAAGCCATTGGACAAAACGGTCTAATATGTCATTGCTATTAGTGCTTCAAGCCAGGGAGTGCGGCTGCCTCCGCAGCACCACTAGTTCCTGCACCGCTGACGGCTGGCGTTAGAGACTAAGACCCCCATTTGCAAAAGTGGCCCGGATTTTGGGTGCTTCCATTTTTGGGTGCCCAGCTTGAGACATCCTGGGGCCTGATTTGCTACGGTGCTGAGCTCCCATTGACTTCAACAGGACTTGCTAGCACTCGTTGCCTCTGAAAATCAGGCCTCAAGCATCTGATGCATCTGAAATCAGTGGCCGCTTTTGGGAATTTTAAGCTTCGTACTTACATAGCGCTTGGCATATATTAACTAGTTAAACCCTTTCCCCATTCATCCCCCCGGAGGTAAGTATTATCCCTGAGAGAAACTAAGGCACAGAGAAGGGATGAGACATGTGCCATGAGACACAGTCAGTGGCAGAGCTAGGACTGGAACTGAAGAACTGCTTCCCCTTCCCATGGACAGTCCAGTGGACCACGCTACTTCCCCTTGAGGTAGGCATAGAAGGTTAGATTTTTATCGGTAAATGTTGGTAAACAGCGATTTCACCGTACACCCGCAAACTGAAGAAAAAATATTTCCATCAATGATCATCGAAATGTACAGACAGACAAAGGAAGAAAAATGCTGCTTATTCCAGTTTGATTTCAGGGTATTTCCGTTGTATATTTTGACACGGGATGTTGACAATTTGTATTTTAATGGTTATAAAGCTTTAGCTTTTTGACGTGCAACGTCTGCTGTCAAACAATTATTGCCTGACTCTCCCCGTCGTCTGACCTCTCCCCCAGAATTTTGCATCACTGTGAACATATAAACTGGCAACAATAGGAAAAAATGCTTTCAAATAAACATTGATGTTATCCATCAACATTATAAAGGAGTTGAATTCTGCCATGCTTGGCTCTAGGGCTTGCAGTGAAGGGCTGGCTGAGTTCCTCTGCTGCATTACAGACATCTGCGCTTAGCAAGGTCATCTCCCAGGCCCAGCAATGAAATCACCGGCCTTGTTCACCCTTTGAATAGAGACACAGGGCAGTGCCCTGCTGCGCCCTGCCTGCCACATCCCCCTCACCAGTGCCTGGGTGTGTCTGTCTAACCGGCAGGGGAGAGGTGGGCTGGCCCCATGGACGTGTCACTTGTACCCAGCCCCCCGGGACTGTCTCCTTTGTGCTCCCCTTAGGTGAGAGTCTGAGTCCGAGCCGTGGGGCTGCCAAGCGGAAGAAGAAGCAGAGGAGGAACCGCACCACATTCAACAGCAGCCAGCTCCAGGCGCTGGAGCGGGTCTTCGAGAGGACGCATTACCCCGATGCTTTTGTGCGAGAGGAGCTAGCGCGGCGGGTCAACCTCAGTGAGGCCAGAGTCCAGGTGAGCAAAGCAGTGGGGAGGAACTAGGCCTCTGCCTCCTGGCTCTAGGCAAGGATGCTGGCTTCCCCCCTTCCTTGGCCAGCTAGAACTCAGGCTTTCATAGAGTTCAGAAGGACCAGGGCAGTGCACCCTCCAGGAGCATCACAGCTCATCCTGCCCCACGGTGCCATGGCAGGCAGAGCAGAGGTGTCACCGCCAGGCTGCCTGCCTGAGATCTGCCAGCATGAACTTGGCCCCCTGCTGAGTGCAATCAGCCCGCTGCACTATGCATTAGGGGAGCGTGGGGCAGCTCCCCCGCTCCCTCCCGCCTGCCTTGTCTGTGCCCCGGGTTAAGTGCGGCTCAGGTGACAGGTGCTGCCTCTCCTCCCGCTAGGTGTGGTTCCAGAACCGAAGGGCCAAGTTCCGTCGCAACGAGCGGGCGATGCTGGCCAACAGGTCCGCATCGCTCCTCAAATCCTATAGCCAAGACGCAGCCATTGAACAGCCGATGGCCCCCAGGCCGACTGCCTTGAGCCCAGAGTATCTCTCCTGGACCACCACATCCCCATACAGGTAAGTCCAGGCAGCCTCACCAGTATCTTTCCCATCTATTCCCAAACTGAGTTACCGCGGCTGCCTTTCGGGAGGTGCTGGAGAGCCAGCCAAGGTCACCCTACCAGGCCTGTCCCTAGTGGGCGGAAAAGACTGCGAAGGCCGGGTGGTTGCGAGGCTGATTAGAAAACTGCTCCCCCTCCAAGGGAGAGAATTAAACAAGCAGGGGAAATGGAGAAGGCACAAAGGCCACAGGGAGTCTTTCCATTGGCTTTAGCGGGAGTTGGGATGGGCCCTAAGGCCCCGAGTAGGAAGGAGAAGTTAGAATTGAACAAACTGCAGGCCCGTTGGGCCAAGATGTCGGCCTGCCGCTAGGACAAACACAGCCAGCATATGGGATGGAGGCAATGGCTGTGCTGAGCTGAATGCAGCGTTGTGGGAGCTGTGTCTGTCCCAGGTTATTAGGAGACAAGGTGGGGGAGGTAATATCTGTTACTGGACCAGCTTCTGTTGGTGAGAGAGACAAGCTTTCAAGCTTACACAGAGCTCTTCCTCAGGTCTGGGACAGGCACTCCGAGTGCCACAGCTCAATCCAAGGTTGAATAATGGAATATGTGCTAACTCCTTATGCTAAACTAAGCACCCATTCAAGGTGAAGTGGCCTGTCAACACCACTGTAGTCATAGGACCAAAACGGGGGGTTAGCGATTGCCTGGTTTCACCACAGGCGCCAACTTTCCAATGTGCCAGGGGGTGCTTGACTCCCAGCTCTACCCCCTGCCCTGCTGCCACTCCCCTTCCCCCCAAGTCTCCAACCCCACCCCGCCTCTTCCTGCCCCCTTCCACGCCTCCCCCGAGCACGCCACATCCTCGCTCCTTCCCCTCCCCCCCAGAGCCTCCTGCATGCCGCGAAACAGCTGATCGCGGCGGGCAGGCGGCATGGGGAGGGAGGGGGAGGTGCCTATCGGTGGGGCTCATCAGTGGGCAGGAGGCGCTGGGGGGGGCTAGTAGGGGGGTTGCCGGTGGGTGTTCAGCACCCACCATCTTTTCCCTGTGGGTGCTCCAGCCCTGGAGCACCCACGGAGTCAGCGCCTATGGGTTTCACTCACATAGTTGTTGTTAGGTCATTTAGTGTCCTGGATGAGGTACACGACACCACCTGTTGTGATAGGCGTGTGTACGACCCATGGGTCAGACTCATCCGCAAAGGAAACTGCACAACACTTTCAAAAGACAAGTCTGGGAGCCATCGGCACCGACTTCTCTTCTTTCCTGTGGGAGCTCGACGCCCCCCTCTGTCCCCAGCCCCGCTCCCACTCCATCCCTTCCATGAGGCCCCGCCTCTTCCCCACCCCCATTCCAACCCCTTCCCCAAAGTCCCTACCTCAACTCCACCCCCTCCCTGCCAATATTCCAACTCCTTCCCCAAATCCCTGCCCCGGCCCCGCCTCTTCCCCTGAGCGTGCCACGTTCCCGCTCCTCCCCCCCATCCCGGAGCATGCTAACGCTGCCAAACAGCTGTTTGGCAGCGGCCAGGCAGGAAGCACTGGGAGGTAGGCGGGGGAGCGGGGACGCAGCGCGCTCAGGGGGGGAGGAGGAGGAGGTGGGACAGGGAGTGAGGGGAGCTTGACTCCCGGTGGGTGCAGAGCACCCACTAATTTTCCCCCGTGGGTGCCCCAGCCCTGGAGCACCCACGGAGTCAGCTCCTATGCTGGGAGCTGAAATTCATAATTTTGCATGACGCTAAAAATCATGGTCTTAATAAAGACACTGGATTTATGGTTTATTACAACAATCTGTAACCCACTAACCCCCTTTTTGTCCTGTGACTACAGGGGTGACTTCCCCTTGAATGGTCCCTTGGAACACGTGCTAACTACTTATGCTAAACTACGTGTTCCACCTTGGATTTAGCTGTGGCACTCGGAGTGCCTTTCCCAGACCTGAAGAAGAGCTGTGTGTGGCTCCAAGCTCGTCTCTCTCACCCACAGAAGTTGGTCCAATAACAGAGATTACCTCACCCACCTTGTCTTCTAATGTTGAGTTTAAATATTTATAAGAGTGAAACTTGAGTGAGGATAGTTAATATTCTACGTGTCGGAGGCACATGGTGCTCCCCATGGGTCACGAGAACCAACAGAGCTTTTTAGCAGCCTGAGCACTAATGACCCCCCCCCCCTCCGGGGGTAAAAGCAGAGCCCAGAAAGCTTTGCAAGAGAGGGTTTTTTCAGTGGTTTAGGAATCCTCTAAACTAGGGACAGGCAAACTCAACAGGGTCAAATTCCTTTCTGGGGTAACTCCAGCAATTGCACCAGGGATGAATTTGGCCTGTTTTATCTAATCCAGAACCCACTTGGAAATGCAAACTCACGTTCTGCTTGGGAGAGACGTCAAAATAAAGAGCCGGAGAGGGAGAGGAGGAGGGAAGAAATTCTAATGAATAAATAATTACCAGCAAGGAGTTGGTGCAAGATAGACTCTCCCACCACCTTGGTTTCAGGTCAAGGGGCTCTTCTACCCCTAATACACTGCACAGGCTTTGGTTCAACTAGGAAAAAGCTTCTTTTCTCTTTTAAATAGAATTTCCTTTGGCAAAGCCATTCCGGGGAAGAAAGGGATTGCAAATTCACACCCATTTGTTGAACCCTGTAACCAGAGAGAGTCATAAAAACTGCACTGGGAGTGTCCAGCTCTGAAAACTTGACTCTTCTGTACAGACCGTGGAACCGAGAAATTGTAATGGGTGGGGGGAACATCAGCCATCCCAGTCTTGGGTTCTCTCCTAGACCCGCGGGTGATCTGCATGACGTCAGCTTGGGATACTTGCAGTAATGAATACCTTTCCCTAAGTGCTTTGAAAGCCTTGAAGGAAGAGCTTTGCAAAAAGGACCTAGCGTTTCAGTAGCTAAGAGCCATAAGGGCAGAATATTGGTATGGAGACAGACGTTTGCTCCAGCATAATCCCCGTCTGATTTGCTTCTGTATCTAATGCCTGTTTCATTCTTCAGCCCTTGAGTGACAGACATCATTCTCCTCGTGTCATTGAGTGCTCAGATAGTGGGTTTTCCCTGCGCTGCAAAGCTCAGATCCAGATCTGGACTTCAGGACATATTCCTCTCTGGGTTTTTGACTCAATCCATTGCCAACCCTAGAGCTCAAGCGCACAGTCTGGAGCGAACTTCCCCTATAATGTTCAGAGTGGGTAGGGAAGGGGTCTAGCCCAGGAGTGGGCAAACTATGGCCAGGAGGGCCGCATCGGGCCCTTCAGATGTTTTAATCCGGCCCTCGAGCTTCTGCCGGGGAGCAGGGTCTGGAGCTTGCCCCACTCCGGTGCTCCAGCCGAGGAGCGGGGTCCAGGACTTGCCCCGCTCTGTGCGTGCCCTGGCTCCACGTAGCTTCCGGAAGCAGCAGCATGTCCCCGCTCCGGGTCCTATGTGAAGGGGCAGCGAGGGGCGCAGCACGGTGCCGGTGCCCCAAGCACCACCCCCGCAGCTCCCATTGGCCTGCAACCGCATCCAATGGGAGTGCAGGGGCGGCGCCTGCAGATGGGGCAGCACAGAGCCACCTGCTTGCACCACCACGTAGGAGCCGGACGGGGGACATGCCGCTGCTTCCGGGAGCTGCTTGAGGTAAGTGTCCCCAGAGCCTGCACCCCTGTCCCCTTCCCACACCCAAACCTCCTGCCCCAGTCCTGATCCCCATCCCACCCTCCGAACCCCTCGGTCCTAGTCCAAAGCACCCTCCTGCACCCTGAACTCCTCATTTCCGGCCCCACCCCAGAGCCTTCACCCCCTCCTGCACCCCAACCCCCAATTTCGTGAGCATTCATGGCCTGCCATACAATTTCCATACCCCGATGTGGCCCTTGGGCCAAAAAGTTTGCCCACCCCAGGTCTAGATCCAGGCTTTTGCCCTGGGCCCATCTCAAATGTATTCAGTTTAAAAGCTAGAGGCAGGGACTTAAATCTCATTTAAAATTGATTTGCACAAACTGTCTGCCTTCACTGAGCAGCATAAAGCCATCCAGACCCTGCTATGGTTTGTGGGGGAAGTTTACTATTGGCATCAGCCGATTGTTTCCGAGAAGCTGGTGAAAGGAGCCAACTGCCTGACAACTTAAAATCAAATGAATCAAATAGAGAGGTGCTAGTCCACTTAACCATTGCAGCGTCGGCTGCTAAGGCTTTCCCTGGGCTGTGCCTGAGTCTCATAACTATTTTCCTTTCCCTCGCCCCTCTCCCCTCCTCCCACCGCTGCAGCACTGTGCCATCCTACAGCTCAAGCGGCACCGCGACGCCCGCCCAGGGGGTGAACATGGCAAACAGCATCGCCAGCTTACGCCTCAAAGCCAAAGAGTTCAGCCTGCATCAGAGCCATGTGCCCACTGTGAACTGACTGCACATCCCCAGAACCGGGACAAACTACCAATGTGCCTGCCCTAGGCGGGAGAGCATCTTCCCGATCACGAGAGGCCAGCTTGCCGCGCCTGTCCCAGTCTAAACCCAAACCCTTGTGACTCTCAGCCAATGCCAAGTGCATCACCAGCACCCCCTTCTTCTCCTGGTCCCTTTTGAAAGCACAGCAAGTCACAATCCCCTTTGGAAAGTGGTGTGTAATTGTAGCCACAGACGGCGTGAACTTGGTAAGAAAGTTGCTTTCCCCACACACTCTATAATAAAATATACGTATACACACACACACACACACATTTCAAGGATGAACAGTCTTGCCAAGTTAACATGAATATGCTTCCGAACAGGGAAGAATCTTGGACTACCGGATTTGACCAATTTGGATATCTCAGCTGGACAGCCAAAGAGCGACTGAGTATCCTCCTACGCTGGGGTCGCTGACCTTTGTTGGGAGGATCACTACATTGTATCATGTCAATTATATAGTCCCTTTTCCTTTGGTTGTCACTCAAACTTGACTGTTCAGCCGTTGCGTTTGTAGCCGATTCACATTATACGACAGCATTTCCAAGGCTGACAGATTGGCTCATATATTTTTGTGTCACCAGACTGCAATGCTTGAGCGAGAAAGACTTTTGCAAGCGGGACTGCCCACCCCTGCTGTATATATTCATTACCCTAACCCTGCATTGTGCTGTGTACATTTAGGTGTAGCCAGCTGCCCATGCCAATGTAAGATATATGCTACCGACTTTTTTTTTTTAAACCATTAGTCAAAGGCGAAGATGATGGTTTGAGTGCTCAGGAGAACTCACTCCAACTAGCTGCCGGGACTTTGCAGCTTTCCAGAAGTTGATGTTTGCTCTGCACTTTGTGGTTAAGTCAATGAATTCACAAGCAAGTCTGAAGGGGCTCGGGTCATGGAACTGTCCTGGGGGAAAAAAAAGTCTGTGGACTTTAGCTGAGTGCCTCGTTGTCCACGCGCTATGCAAATGGCCAGGCAGGCTGCCTCCTTCGGAAACACTGCCTCTCTTGTGGACCTGGATGTGGTTGATGGCCTGGGCTCGTAAATTAAACGCCTTCCGCAGCAAGTGGCTGCTTTCCCCATCACCCCACCTCTTAGCAATCTCTTCCCTGCCAAACAGCTGAAAATCAAAAGCAGGGCTTTCAGATACAACGTAAGATGTGAACCAGCAGAACCTCAGCTGGAGGCCTCAGAGGTCTTGCTCAGCCAGGGCCTGCTCTGAGCTTTTTAGGCTGGGGCTTTAATTAATGGGGCTAGAGTAGGGGGCTGGACAGACAGCTCTGGAGACAGCTTCCCTTATGTACGCACAGGTATAACATGGGCAGTGCAGGTTTCCCTTGGTACTGCTACACCACTCAGCCTCAACCCTGATCTCATGGGGCTCCCAGCCAGGGAGGAGAAGGGAGCTCAGTTTCCAGGCTCCATTCAAGCCCCGACCTCTCTGCTGCGTGGTGCTGGTTTTATGATGTGGACAAAATACCCACTGGAAACCGTTTATTCATTTCACATAGGCCACCAAGCAGGCATCAGCTGAAAACAGCTTTGGGTCCCAACTGACTTGCCCTGGATTTGAGCTAGTGCCTTAGAAGTAAAAGGCATCATTGCCCAGTACCAATCCCCCAGCCCATTCAGTCCCCTGCTCTTTAAGGCCTGTGTCTTGCGGGGAATTTAGTAAGGAATGAATGACTGTACTGGTATGTTTAAGAACAAAGGCGGCTACTACTGAGACGCTCTCCTACAGAAAACGCTCTAAGGTAGGGTGACCAGATGTCCCGATTTTATAGGAACAGTCCCGATTTTGGGGGCTTTTTCTTATATAGGCACCTATTACACCCCACCCTCCATCCTGATTTTTTTACACTTGCTGTCTGGTCACCCTACTCTATGGGAAGCCCAGTAGTTTTGCTGTAGCCAGTACTACGGCGGTGGAAAGAGCTCGTATCCCACAATGTGGCATTAAAAGGCACAACCACCTTCCCTCGCAGTCGTCACAGATGCTGAACGGGCTCCAGGACAAAGGCACAGGTGGTGTTTCTGACGGGATGGCATAGCTCGTCCATAACGATAACCTAATTTCTCCCCCACTTACTCCTTCCCTTGGGAGCAGCCTTTTCTTTCATGGGTCTTTGGCTGCAGCCTGATACGTTAGCTGGCAGGAGGAATCATGCACGGGACCATCCGCTTCAAAAGACACGAGTCTCTAGTGCCCACAAGCTGGGCAGCGGCAGGGTTTGTATCTGCTGTAGCCATGATAGGAGCAGCTCCTACGGAGCCGTTCTAACTTTCCACCCAGTAGAGCGAAGTGATGCTCCAACCACTGAGTGACCCTTAGCTGCTGTTATCAAGGTCTGGGAAGACCCAGGCCTTCTGGGCGGCACCAGCAGGGCCACACCGGGCCTGGGCGGTCCAGTGGGGAGGATCCTGCCAGACTTACCTTCCTAGCTGCTTCCCAACAGATGGAAGATGTTTCCAAAATCAAGGTGGCGACACCATGTGTGTGTTTACCTTAACCGGACATGGGGACGCAAACTTCTTAAAGAAACCAGCACAACCAAGGCCGAGATCATTGTCAGAGTGAGCAGACAATAGCACCCACCCCCGTGGAACAGTGACCGTGCCCAAGATGTTCCCAGCCCTGCTCGCTATGCATGTGGATCACAGCTCTGATGCTTTGCCTAGGCCGCTCCAGCCCCCACCCTCACGCTGGTGATTCTGTACTTAAATTCCACCAATCAATTCACGTGCTGTGGTACCTGAGCACTTCACAATCTCTAATGCATTTACCCTCCCGACACCCCATGCTAGCATCTCCCTTGAAATGATGGGAGCAGAGGTGCAGAGATATGGGAGGGGGAGTGGCATCGGGTGTACCAGGATAGTTAAAGCAGTAGCTTTTCTGTGCGTAGATAAGCTGGTCACACAGGAAATCTGTGGCCCAGCAGTGAAGTGAATCTTGGTCCCCTAAGTCTTCAGGGTAGCACCCCAACCCCTGAACCACCCTCTTTTCAAAAGTAATTCCAGATTTTCCAAACTGGCCAGCATTTTGGGCCATGAATGCTTTGAAAGTATGGCCCCTGCTGTGGGTGATGGGCATAGACAATCTGGTCCTGATCGCTTAGGAAAAATCTGTCTCCATGAGACCAAATATACTTGTCAGATCAGGTACCCCACCAATTACCCCCACGCCCCCCACCCCACCCACACGCATTGCTGTGACTGTAGGGGGCCTCATCTTATGGGGAGCCTCTTGACCAGCAAGCACCTGCCAGCATCCTGTTGAATGCCACATCTTGAAGACCATCTAACCAGTGCCCAGTTTCAAACACTCGGCGAGAGGTCATTTCAAGCACATAGAGAACAGTTGTGACACTTCATGCAAAACTGGTGGCGAGTGTCATCAGAGCAGGGCTGAGGCCCATTAGCATGAACCAAGAGTGGAAGTGTAGAAAACCTTTCCCCGGGAAGGAGCTTGGGCGCAGGCAGAAGCGCATGAGGCAGGGAAAAGAGATCATGGGCTTGAGTAAAGCTCTGGCTGCACCGGTTTCAGTTTAACACCGGGTGTCACTAGCACGGCACCAAACAGCCCAGGATAACCACGCAGGACTGAAACGTCCTATTTCCCCCAGTGAGAAAAGCCACGGAACAGCGAATTCCACATTTCCAGCCCCAGTGTTTGTTTGGTGCAAAATAAAGATCTCCAAGCACCGATGACAGAAGCAGCGCACGATGGAGGTAGCCTGTCAAAGCCAAGCCGTGCAGCCATGGATTGACTGAAGATAGAACTCCCATCATGCGAAACTTTGCTTGGGGGTGGGAAGAGGGAAACTCTTGGAGCTTTTATTCCCATGGAAAACGTGGGGCTCTTTCCTGTTGTATAAGACGAAACCGCAGAGATATAAATGTCACTCCCTTTTTGAGAGCATTCATGAAAATAAACCAGTTTAATAGTTTGCAGATGCTGTTTCTCTAAACGTAAAAAAAAAAAGGGGGGGGGGATAAATATTTCTTTGCACAACCTCAATTAGAAAACATTTGCTCTTAATTTTACAGCTATCTTGGCAGCCTCCTCCAAAATTGTCAGCTGACGTGAAAGCATTACCGAGACAAGACACAAATTGCCCCAGTGGAGTGATATCAGGAACTAGGGATTGTTGTAATCTAAGCTTGCTCGCTTCCTTTTTATTTGTACATTTCAATTACTTGTAACAGGATCTATGGTGGGCGGGGGGGTTGTTTGGGTGGGGGTTTTTTTTTTTGCATGTCTGTGTAGGGTTTGGGTTTTGGGTTTGGTTTTTAGGGGGGTTCTCTTTGGGGAGGGGAGTAATTTTTGTAAAAACAACTCGTGAAATAACTGAGAAATAAATATTTTACTGAGTAGTTCAGCGTCTAGATGCATGAATGAGGATTCAGCCTTTCCCTCCTCTGTCACAGCCGATTCTGGGACAATGCCCGGCCCACAGCAGGATTGGAGGCTGCACTGCGCTGGAAGATGGCGGGGCAGGGCACTTTGGACTTCTCAGGCCAGGAAGAGTGATGAGATGAAGAACACGAATAGGGCCATTTAGGATCACCTTCTTCCTACTGAGCCGGCACTCGTCTGTTCAAGCCCCACCAAGGGTGTATTTGACTATTGCACCATTATTGTCGAATGCTCCCATAGTTCGTGCCGGTTGAGAATCTCTCCGTGTTTTACAAAAGCGGGGGGGTGGGGGGTATTAGTATCTCCAGCTAAGAAGTGGGGAAACAGAGGCTCAGAACAGCAAGTCTGATGCAGCAAGGCTGCAGATCTCGCAAGCCCTGCTCTAACCGCTAGGTGCGTTGGATTCCTAGTAGGGAATGGTTCCCCTTCCACGGGGGCTTGGTTAATTCCATGCTAGTGCCGCCCCTGGGTCTTTTCCCCGGGGTGCGAGGTTAAGGTCAGTGATGTGTGATTCAGGTTGGGGATTGGCCCTTTGTATCCCCTCTCAGCCTGGCCTCCAATCCCTTATGGAGTGTGTCAGTTTGGAGCCCTGTGCCACAGCACTGAGGAGATGTCTACGCTGCATTGAGGACCAAACCTCCCCGTTGACACCCACAGACTCTGGCTGGCGGGCCTTGTACCAGCGTGCTCAAAACAGCCGCGTAGGCATCGCAGCCCGAGCCACAGCGGGAAAGCAACGTCTACACGGTTATTTTTAGTGCACTTGCATGACATTCCCCCCCAAGGCTGCAGACGCCAGCTGGAAGGCTTGCTCCGCCTCCCAGCTGCAGTGTAGACATCTGAATGTCTGGTAGCCACCCTGTAATAACCAGGCGTCGCTCAGCCATGTTCCAAAGGAACAGATGCATATTGCAGAGACTGGGAGCTGCCCGTGGCCTCCACTAACCCACCACGGTCTCAGCTACAGTCGAGTGGGCGTGAAAGGAGCCACAACCGTCCTGCAAATTAGTTTAGTGGAATTCTTCAAGCCAGGAGGTTTTCAAGGCCCAGCACAGCCGATGTCCAGAGGAGATGGAAACTTACAGCCAGGAGCACAGAATCGAAGGGCCCGGCCTGGCAGTTCATTGCAGGGCTGTGCCAGAGCCTAGTGATTTCATTCCATTTCATGGGGCAGGAAGTGCTGGTTGTTGGTTGAAGGGCCTGAGTCTTGTCAGAGGTAATAGGATTGGTTCACTGCAGGCAAAGCCATGGCTGCCTTAATACTCTGTGAAGGGGGGGAACACCCATAACTATCCCCCACACGGTTATGACTCCTCTCCCCTTGCGAGGGCAGCAGCCCTCACCACAGCCCTGCCGCAGGAGCTCCCGTTCGGGAGGTCACAACCGCACCCTGTTCACATGGTTCTATCACAAGGCCTCTGACACTTGCTTTCACGTCACTCCCCCTTTCCCATTTTTTCAGCTATGCCCAGCAGCAGAGAAGGACTCAACCCACGATACTCAGGGCCATATTTTGAATATCCCAGAGCTGGGGGCAGTTTGGATGCAGCAGGGCTGGACTGGGACCATCTCTATCCATGAGGAGGAAACGGGTTTAAAAATCTCTCTCACACCTCATGCATTTCACACCTGGCCATAAAGCTCCTACAGCAACCGCATGTCTCAGGGAGTCAGAAACAGGCTACAGAGCTGGTTTTTCTCTTTACTGCTAAATCACCAGTTCAAATCCTAGCTCAGTCAGGGATTGGGAGAGAGGTTTTGAATAGATGGTGGATACTTAATGGGCGGCTCCTGGAGTCTCATCTCACCGTGACCATCCGTGCTCAGCCTTGGGGAATGTTGGCGGAGTCGAGTGGTTCGGCTGTAGCTGCTCGGGAAATAAACGTTCGCTCTCGGAATGAACAGAGTCAGAGCGTCGCACAGCTTCACGAGTGACACGTGTTTGGGTCACAGTATCCATCCAACGTCCTCAGGTAGCTACAGGAAGGCCGTTGCTGCTGCTCTGCTGAGGTGAAGATTCAGTAATGGCTGCAAAGGAGCATTAAGTCTGGGTCATATCAACCTCTTCTCAAGTCCATTCTGGGGCAGCCTGTGCACTGAGGAAAACTTTAAAAGAGGAGAGCCAAAGATCAGGGCATTTGCACCTTCCAACGGTAAGTTATAACCTAGTTGGCAGGACAGGGGGAATAGAGAACACACACACACACTCACACACACACGGTGTGGGGTGGAATCTGATGGGGGAAGCGAGCTACTCCTACTGCCCACGTTCCATCCAGATTCCTAATAACCCAGGTTATACTGAAGCCTGAATTATAAAACTCTGTCCGACGTCCCCTGACTTGTGGGTTGCACCATTGCTTGGCGACATGTCTCCATGAGCTCAGACGTGAGGTGTGTTGTCCAAAGCAGTCCCTGCCCCATGCCCAGTTTGGCTCTTCCCCAAGGATGCTAGAGGGTGGCTCGTTTGCAGAATCAGCCACAGCACTTCACCCCTCTTGGCCTGGAGGACGCAGAGCCTGCTGGACCCTGCTAGACACCATCTGCGCCAATTTCCGTTACCTGTTAGCCACGTATGTACAGATACGGCAGCTGCAGGACAACCTGAGTGGCCATGTCGCAATCAGATCCAACCTTCAATTAACTCACCGGCTATTCATGCTAAGAGTCTGTGTTGATTCATTTCTGGGAAACTTTCTAAGAGCACAAACAAGACAATTCCTGCCCAAAGAGCTTGCAATCTAAACATAAGACAAGAGACAAACAGGTAGAAACAGACGAGGGGGAGGGAGGAGTGAGGGGGAGGCTCAAAGAAACAATTAGACAATTATCGGTCAGCATGATAGGCAGCAGTCTCAGAACACCAGCTGCCTTGTCAAGTTTTTTTAATAAGTATCACAGAACCACTTAGTTACTAAGCCCTACATTTAAGGCCAGAAGGACCTGACCTGCCTAACACAAGGCATAGAATTTTGCCCAGTACCTCCTGCATCGGGTCCAATAACTTGTGGCCGGACAAGAGCATCATTTAGAAAGACATCCAGTCTTGACGTGAAGAGATGGAGAATCCAGGGCAGACTGTTCCAGCGGGTCGCTACTTTCACTGTGAAAAATGTGCACTTTATTTCCAGTTCAAATGTTTCTAGTTTCAGCTTTCAGGCACTGGGTCTGAGAATGCCTTTGTCTGCTAGATGCTCCATGGTTAGTTCTCGAGCAGTGGAATTTTAGTCGGAGAGTTAAACCGATGGTGACACATCACCCCCCAGGGCTGGCCAAACATTTTCTATTGAAATACTTTTTTCTGACAGAATTTTTTTGTTTTGTTTTGATTAAACAAAACTTTCCCCAGAAAGCGTTTGCTTTCCATGGACATTGTTTACTTTCATTAGAAAACTGAATTTTTTCAGGTGAAAATTTAAAGGCTTTTTGTTACATAAGAACATAAGAACGGCCGTACCGGGTCAGAGCAAAGTCCATCTAGCCCAGTGTCCTGTCTACCGACAGTGGCCAATGCCAGGTGCCCCAGAGGGAGTGAACCTAACAGGCAATGATCAAATGATCTCTCTCCTGCCATCCATCTCCACCCTCTCACAAACAGAGGTAGGGACACCATTCCTTACCCATCCTGGCTAATAGCCATTAATGGACTTAACCACCATGAATTTATCCAGTTCTCTTTTAAACGCTGTTATAGTCCCTAGCCTTCACAACCTCCTCAGGCAAGGAGTTCCACAAGTTGACTGTGCGCTGCGTGAAGAAGAACTTCCTTGTATTTGTTTTAAACCTGCTGCCTATTAATTTCATTTGGTGACCCCTAGTTCTTGTATTATGGGAATAAGTAAATAACTTTTCCTTGTCCACTTTCTCCACATCACTCATGATTTTATATACCTCTATCATATCCCCCCTTAGTCTCCTCTTTTCCAAGCTGAAAAGTCCTAGCCTCTAATCTCTCCTCATATGGGACCCGTTCCAAACCCCTAATCATTTTAGTTGCCCTTTTCTGAACCTTTTCTAGTGCCAGTATATCTTTTTTGAGATAAGGAGACCACATCTGTACGCAGTATTCAAGATGTGGGCGTACCATCGATTTATATAAGGGCAATAATATATTCTCTATCCCCTTTTTAATGATTCCTAACATCCTGTTTGCTTTTTTGACCACCTCTGCAGACTGCGTGGACGTCTTCAGAGAACTATCCACAATGACACCAAGATCTTTTTCCTGACTTGTTGTAGCTAAATTAGCCCCCATCATATTGTATGTATAGTTGGGGTTATTTTTTCCAATGTGCATTACTTTACATTTATCCACATTAAATTTCATTTGCCCTATCACTTAGTTTTGTGAGCATTACTGGAAGGGACCCTGAAAGGTCATTGAGTCCAGCCCCCTGCCTTCACTAGCAGGACCAAGTACTGATTTTGCCCCAGATCTCTAAGTGGCCCCCTCAAGGATTGAACTCACAACCCCGGGTTTAGCAGGCCAATACTCAACCCACTGAACTATCCCTCCCACCCTGTTCAGTCCTTGTTTGTTTCTGACCAAAAACTGAATTTTGGGGGTCCTCATGAGGAGCCAGCTGGGGTCACTCAATTAGGGTGAACTGCAAAGAATGGGGCAGACAATCCCCATAAAGCTGGTGGATATTCCAATACCTAGATTCACCAGGCCAGCATAAAACAGCTTCTTTATTACCGTACTGGTTACTCAGACGTCCAAACAACACAGTTCCCTTAAAGTGATCCAGCGTCAGGCCTCCATCCAGGTACCCACGTCAAACATGATGAAAATTTCTGTAA